CCATGAGGCACGGTTCCTTTAACTTTTTTCTTCCTATCAATATGTTCTACAGCTCTGTTAAAGTCCCAATCGCGTCATACGGATCTATATTTCTATCTATTAAACATTCTAAAAAACTTTAAAATAGTTTAATTTGTTTATTTACCTTCGGTTGTAAACCTCGATTATTAATGTATCCGCCATTTTTCTAACAAATTTTCCGTGAGTCAATGCGCGACGTTCACTGACTTGTAAGTCACGGGATGTTGTAAACGTGCGGCGCGAGGTTAATCTAGGCATATAATAAGGCAAGGCATATAATAATTATTTATACCATTCCGTGGTAAAAAAAAATAAATTCATATCAATAATAAATTTGTATTACAAATAAAAATAATTTATTGTTAATTTAAAATCATCGCTAGGGCGCCACTAGTTCCCGTTTTTGGCATACCGTTACGCGGACGGCCGAACGGACGGACTAACTTACCTGAGATCATGTTAATAATGTTAATTAAATTTTTAATATCTAATGTGCTGTTCTATATTTAATATTTAATGTGCTGTTCTATATTTAATTATATTTGATTAATTTATGTACAATTGTTTTGTAAAATTGCCACCTGATTATTCAGCCGATTAACTGCCATAATATCCCTAAAACGAAAGGTCAGAAAACCCTAAAAGCACCCCAAAAGATAACTTTTAATAAGTATATGGACATACTGTGGTGTAAGGAAAATGCCTTGTTCGAGGGATACCCGCCTCTTACCCGTTACCGGCCGTTCTCGGCCACAGCGACACTCTGATATTCAATGTCCGGTCAATATTTGTTAATATTCCAACTTCTCTAAAAAGTTAATATTGTTATTATTATAAATAGGGGACTGTCTTCAGCAGCGTCCGCAGATTATGTAAAAGGTAGGCATAAGCTATAAAAAAAAGAAGTAACTTCAAACTCTATGATTCAATGTCGGATCAGCGATCCTGCAAGGTTGCGCTCATTGCACTATGGGCTAACTTGGCCCCGAAAACAAGGAATGAGATCTTGCTTAACTTACGACGAACTTGCACGGGTCAATGAATGAATATCGTTCATTAGTTTCTTTTATATTTGCAGAATAGGCTAAAAGTTATGAATTTTCTATTGTTTGGGGTATCCTTTAACATTAGGTAAAAAGCAACCGAAATGAAAATAAAAGCACGTGCTTCAATGTACGGCCTTTCTCACTTATATTAAAAGAGATTGATAAAATGTGTTTATGTATAATGTATCATATGAAGTTAGTTATTAAAAAATCGAGCAGGCATGCTTGCTGGTAAACCCGGGATTTTATTTTAAACTCCCCGCCCTGTGAGCACTAACAGTAATTGTTTTTGCAATCTTTTGATCATTATACATAAATAAAAATTAGGTTTCGAAGCAAAATTTCTAAGTGTGAATATTGTAATGTTTTTTAGGTCAATGTTTCGAATGAATTTCTCTGGAAATAATTGATATTCGTACGGTTTTTCTCCGGTGTGGATACGAAGATGTGTAATTAATTAAGAGTCAGTTTTCTACTTTTTTAAATTTGATATATATGTTATATACAAGATAAACAATCTTTAACCTGGGGATTTATCGACCCGTCCGGTCGACAAATCCCCAGGAATTTTTTTGGGTGATCCGTCCGCATATGTCGGGCCCCGTCCCTCACCATCCAGCCGTCCCATTGTGGGCCTGGCCGAATCCATAATGGGCTTGTTAAAAAGAGGCCCTCTTAGTACCCACAAGGCGGAAAGAGTTAAAAAAAAAGTTCAAGATTAATATTCATATTATACAGAGTAAAAAACTTTTTAATAAAGAAAAATAAATTAATACAATTCATTTACATTAAAATTATTAGACAAAACAAATATTCTAATTAAAAATATTATAATGTAAAAAATTTTAATTATTATTGGGCGAAAATTGGGAAATAAATTAATTCCAAAAATGATCAGTTTTGGTACTTTGGTTGGCAACACTTCTTAAACAATTTGAAAATAAACCTCAGTAAAAATTCACGTGTTTTCCATGTGGTTCGTATGTAATTATTGCCACTGGAAACAATGGAAAATTTTAATGTTACAACAGCATTTACCTCTCTTTGTAAGCACATCGATGTAAATAAATTATCTGTAGAGATTCGGCGAGATATACAACGTTTACTATCAAAACAAGTAAGTTTATTATAAGTTACAAGTGATACAATACAGATGTATTTCGTATTATGCATGCAATCATCAAGAATAATTAATAAGTATACATACAATCAGTAATGAAAAACTAATTGATAACATTTTCATCAATATACTATATAGGAATGACATAAATGAATCTGCTGATGATTGATCACTTAACTAATTCAGTAAATTTTTTCCCTCTCTCACCATAAAAGAGTAAAATGCAATACTATGATATCAAACTGGTGAATGTTCAGGGTCGTAGACTGTCATGGCGGCTCTTCCTGTTTTAGCCTCGAAACCAGACCGCTTTGGAGACAACGTGTCACGTGACGACGCGAGCGAACGGCGGCGGCTGCTGCGCCGCGGCAGCGCTGGCGGCTCACCGCTGATTCCAGCAAACGAAAGGAAATAGTGGGGACGCACGTTCTAACCTAACCTAACCTATTCTAATAATATAATTGGTAATAATTATGATAATTTATCAGAATAGGTTAGGTTAGGTTAGAACGTGCGTCCCCACTGTTTCCTTTCCTTTGCCGGAATCAGAGGTGAGCCGCCATGGCAATCCACGTGTCTGGACTTTAACCAAGAAAAAAAGAAAACAGTGGGGAGGCACGTTCTCACCTAACCTAACGTATTCTAATAAATTACCACAATTATTACCGATTAAATTATCAGAATAGGTTAGGTTAGAACGTGCGTCCCCACTGTTTCCTTTTCTTTTTGCGGAATCAGAGATGAGCCGCCATGAGTCTACGTATATAGACGTTAACCCGCGCGTCGGTTTTCCCCGTTTATCGCGACGCAGCAGCCGCCGCCGTTCGCTCGCGTCGTCACGTGACACGTCGTCTCCAAAGCGGTCCGGTTTCGAGGCTAAAACAGGAAGAGCCGCCATGATGGTCTACGACCCTGAACATTAACC